TACTATTTCTTAGTTGTCTCAAATTAGAACATTGAGAAGGAAAACAATTAAGTTATTATTTTCAAGGATAAGCTTTACAATATTTTCATATGAACAACCCATTGATTTTAAGATTTTAGTTGACCAGAGGAACCTAATGATTATTTTAGTACTCATGATTAGATGATGGTGTTGATATCATGTACCAGCAAGTACCAAAGAGGATCTTCTTGGGTCCTCCTTTGTTAGTTCTCTTGTTGTAACCTTCATTCAAACGATAAGAACATAGACCTTTTCATGATCATGAAGCTCAACTAAAGGCTCATCAACATATCCTAGTCCTTACTTACTACTCATACTTACACCAAAGATTAGAGAGATACCATATTTCTTCTACTAACGGTGTTAGTCAATAACTCTTGAAAATATGGTATCAATGTTTGCTTCGAAATATTTTACCTATTTATTTCCTTATGGTGAAGACGCAATCAATCATTGGTAGTTTTTGTCGATTCAACATTGGTGATATTATCATACTCCTTGAAGGAAATAGGATTTACAAAAAAAAATATTATAGCTTTATGATGCATCTTGTAGTTTTTCTTTTAAACATCATTCATCGAGAAAGGGTCAACATTTTGCCTTAAGAATATTTAGGATGTTCATACATATCTTTAACAAACTTCCATGGATCTAAACCATGGGAGATAATGAAACTATAAAGCTTTATCTTTTCCATAATCAAATATTTATATATCAAAAATAAGAGGTTTGAATAAGTAAAAAGTGATGGTTCCTGCCATGATCACTTCTAGTGTTTGCAATTTTCAAGTCTTTTTTTATCAATTTCACATGTTTTCAGAATATTGTGAACACCAAATGAGAATCAACTTTCTATCTTAGGAATTTTATCCATGTTTATCTATTATAGTCATCAACTATGACTAGTCTATATTTATTACCATTGAGCGATGTCATTTTCACTTTCCCAAACATATCAATGTTTAAGAGATCTAGTGGTTTAGAGAAGGAAACAATATTTTTAAAGTGAAAAGAAGTTTTCACAAGTTTCTCGTTTTGACATGCCTCAGAAAGAGAGGATGATTTATACTTCAAATTAGTCAAGTCTCTCACAAGCTCAAGCTTGTTAAGCTTTAATACTAATCTTAAGCTAGCATGTTCTAATCTTATATGCCATAACCATTGCTCTTCGTTCACTTATATGAGGCATTTCACCTATTGTTTTACAAAGCCAAACAACTTGATTTTATAAATGTTGTTTCTCCTTGTTACACTAAAAAATACAAAGCCTTAATTTTTACTAATAATTTTATAGAACTTTTGATTGAAGACGACATCATAACTATTGTCATTTAATTGATTTATGCTCGGTATATTATCAATTAGTAATTCAATTAAAAACACGTAATTGATACAGGGAAGAGATCCATTACCTATTGTCTCAGATTCTGTGATCCTTATCTTATAGTTTCCTCCAAACCCAATGATGTTTTCTTACTTCATCAAGAGGCTTTCGAATGTAAGCATTTATCCCTTCACGTGTCATGAGCATCCAATATTCAGGTACTAGGACCGGTGTTTTAACATAGTTTTTAAAGATTTGTTGCATTGTAGACAATTTTCTTAGTTCTAGGAGGTTTCTTGTCTTCCATGTTTTCAACATATGACAAGTTCTCTTGATGTAACCTTCATTCAAAGGATAAGAACATAGACCTCTTTAGGATCATGAAGTTCAACTAAAGGCTCGTCAACATATCTTAGTCCTTACTTACTACTCATACTTACACCAAAGATTAGAAAGAGACTATATTTCTTCTACTAATGGTGTTAGCCAGTAACTCTTGAAAATCTTCTTCATACTTTTAAAGGTTGCATACGCTTATTCTTGAGTTTGTACATGATTTATTTTTTACAAATTTATTTTCAATTTTCTAAACATCAATCTATTGTTCCCGAGTTTCATGATGTGCTAATGACATGTTATAGATCTATTTGAAACCTTGATGTTTAACAATTATTCTACTAATTTTACTAAGCACCTATCTCAAGATAATAGTAAGTTCATCATAAGATAAGTTAGAAAATATTTCATCTTCATCTTTATTTGTTGTGGCGTCGATTTCCATGTTAAATGATACATATTTGTGTTCCTCGTATTTATTAGAGGATTCATAAAATTGATCTCATGTGCACATGATTCTCTTTTTCCTCTAAGTCTTTCGTTCTTAGATCTCTCTTTCTCAGGATTGGACATTCATCTCTAAAGTGTCTATATTCTTAGCATTCATGGAAAATTACATTTCTATCATCTTCCTTCTGATCTCTTGGATTCTTCGAAACTCTCTCTTAAAAAAAATATATTTCTATTTGGCCCATAGATCTTAAACTTTCCTAGAGATGGGGAAAACTCATTATCTTTTGATTCTTTCATTCGATCCTTCATAGGGTCTTCATATTTCGTGGCCTTTATGTTTTGGATTTTACAGTTCAAAGCACTAGACTTTGGCTTTCTCTTAGGCTCATCTTCCTAAATATCGATCTCATAACTCTGAAGGGGGCTAATAAGGTCTTCAAGAGGAAGCACATTCATGTGCTTTACTTCTTTAATTGGAGTTATCTTTGGTATCCATTTATTTCCTATAATCCTAAGGACTTTCTTAACATCATCAACGCTAGTATATCTTTTATTTAACACTTTGAGTCTAAAGACTAAAATTTGAATCCTAGAAAATATGGCATCCATGTTTACTTCGAAAAATTTTACCTATTTATTTCCTTCATAATGAAGACACCGTGAATCATTGGTAATTTTTGTTGATTCAACATTGATGATCTTATCATACTCCTTTGAAGGAAATAGTATTTACAACAACAAAATTCGTATAGCTTTATGATGCAACTTGTAATTTTTCTTTTGAGCATCATTCATCGAGAAAGGATCAACATTTTGCCTTCAGAATATTTAGGATGGCCATACATATCTTTAACAAATTTCCATGGATCTAAATCATGGGAGATAATGAAACTATAAAGCTTATATTTTCCATAATCAAATATTTATATATTAAACATAGGAGGTTTGATTAAGTAAAAAGTGATGGTATCTTCATTGTTATTATTTTCATGATCACATGTGTTTTTCTCAAAGATCTCTTACTTTTATTTATATATATATATATATATATATATATATATATATATATATATATATATATATATATATATATATATATATATATATATATATATATATATATATATATATATATATATATATATATATATATATATATATATATATATATATATATATATATATATATATATATATATATATATAACTTACATACATTAATTGTCAAAATGTACTAAAAAAATCAATTTTGTTTATAATTTGTTTCGGAGGAGTATAGTAATAATTTACAATAATTTATATTGATAATAATTCATAATAATTAATTATTAATACTTCTTCCGTTTCATAATAAATACGTATCTCATTTGAATTCTAAGCGGTTATTAAGAAAATGATTAGATGTATTGATTTTAATAATAAAATTAGTACTATCATTTATTAAAATGTTGTTATTTATTATAGTTACTAGAGTAGTTGAAAAACGTGAAAGTTAATTCCTCTGTCTCATAATTTTTTCATTTGAGTTTTGAGCGGTTCTTAAGAAAAATGATTTGATTGATTTTAATGATAAAATTAATATAGTTTACTAAAATACTCTTATTTATTATAGTTAGTAGAGTAATGAAAAACGTGAAAGTTAATAAATAGGGATATAATAATTAAAAATAATAATAAATATTGTATTGGTATTCTAAAGAGATATTTATTTTGAGACATAGAAAAGTGCAAATGTGACATTTATAATGAGAAGATGCAGTAATAAATATGGGCATAATAATTTTAAAAAAAATACCGTATTGGTATTTTAAAGACACATTTATTTTGAGACAAAAAATATAAATAAAAGACACTTATTATGAGACGAATATGATAATATATAATGATTAGTTAACATCTTTTAAAGGATAAGTTATCATGTTTTTTAGAAGAAAAGGTAACATGCTTTAAAGGAAAATGTGTATTGTTTTTCGAAAAAGCTAACATGTGTCTCAAGGACATAAATTAATAAGTTATTTGTATAAATATTTTCTTGAAATGCGTGTTTAATATTGTGAAATTTTAAGGGTGTGTTTGGATTGGCAGTGGACATAATTGATTCTAATATAATTGAGTTTTGTAGAACTGATTCTATCATAATTGAGTTTAACAGAATTGATTTATATTTGGATAGATTTATGTAAAAATGAGTTGAACAATAAATTTCAATGTAAAAACTACTCAGAATCAATTCTGGAGGCAGAAATTACAAATTTTAACTTCAAATAGAATCAATTATAGATGTAGAATTAATTCTACTTTTATCTAACCAAACATTTTAAAATCACTCAGAATCAATTTTATACCTCTAGAATCACTTTTGATCCTTTCAAAAGTTAAATCAAAGATGCATTAAATATGACTTTATTACATTTAATTATATTTAAAAAAAATTAATTATAATATCTTTAGGACACATGTTAGTAGGGGTAACAAACGAGTATGTCCGTTTCGTTTAGGTTCATCTCACAAAAGTCTGCAAAAAAAACGGAACGGAAAAGAACATAATTGAGAATGCGAACCTAAAATCTATCTCCGCCCCACAAAAAGTGAAGACGGAGCGGGAAAAGTTCGCAGACACTGCACCTTTTAAGCCTAAAACACAAAAATTTATGTAAATGTACGTGTTTATAAAAGACCGCGTAAAAAATATGACGAAGAGGAACAGACATATTAGAATATAAGAGCCTAAACCCTTGGCTCGCCTCGCACTAAAATATGAACAAAACAAACATATCTAACAAATCCGACTTGTTTTGTCACCCTTCATATTAGCATGCTCCTTTATTTTTTGAGATTGGTGTGTCGTAATCCTTGTACGTAGAACATGTACGTGGTTCTATGCTGTAGGGTAGACAACTTCTGCAGTGTCATTAAATGCTTTTGCTGCTGCCAAGATTTATTTTTATCTTGTGGAATAGGTCAAACTGATTTTTGTTGCAGAAATGGTACATCCAAGTTTAATTTTGAAGCATTGAGAGATAGATCAACTGAATCTGCAACAGTGTTTGGTGATGCAAATTCAAACTTCATTTAGATGATTTTGGGACCACTACTACATTCAATAACAAATTTTTCACATTACACTTATTAATATTCAATATATATATATATATATATATATATATATATATATATATATATATATATATATATATATATATATATATATATATATATATATATATATATATATATATATACTTGATTCGTGAGATTAAAATTTAAAAATTAATTGAAATACATCATTGTCAGATTAATCATAACTTTAGATTTTTAGTAACGTTTAACTTTTATTCTAATAATTTATAAAATATCATATTTGAATATTGTAATGTATTAACTGTATAAAGAAATTTATATAGATAGTGTATAGTAATTAATTTCTAAAATTTAAGATTAAAATTTTATATTTATTATTTTTTATTTAAATAAAAAATTCAAAATTTTATTTAAATTTTAACTTTTTTTAAATTAAAAAATTTGTTTCAACAAGGAAATATTTCTAATGCACTAGTTATAATATGAGTGTAGGGAATCTTTTTTATAATTTTGTTGTCTACTAAGTTAATACACGAATGCTCCCTATGACAATGCCGAAACCAATTTAGTGGTCCCCTAACGTGTATTATCCTTTCAAAAGAAACATTTCCTCTGTCTAATATAATTAATAATCATATCCTATCATTTTATACAAATTAGAAAATTGATAAAATAAAAAATAATTGTGATTTTATCCAATTTATCATATTAATTATTAATGTATTTTTAATTTCATAAAGAGTTTTAAAATAATGTACAAATAGTGTAAAATTTTACAAATAGATGAATGTTGTATCAGTTTTTTAAAAATAAAAATGAGGTTTAATGAGATAAATATCTTTAATTGATTGACAGTATAAAAATAATTTATACGGTCAGTTTATTTCTTTTTCTCATGTCATAAATATAAAATATAAAATAATATTTATAACATTAATTAATGAAATAATTTAAATAACAATTAATTATGTATTAAAAATTGAATATGATATGCTATTTGCCTCAAATTATATGATATTTTAGTTATTCTATTCTATTTAAAAAATAATTAATATTTTATAAAGAAAAGATAAATTTAATAGTTATGTATTAGAATGTCATTCAATATAAAATTTAGGCAAAATACTTTTTGTGTCCCTTATCTTTATTCGAGGTCCAGTTTAATCCATTAATTTTTAAAAAGTTCCAATAACTCTCTTATCTATTAAAATAGTATCACGTCAATGCTTCCATTTGGTTCCGTTAATTGTGTTATGTTTTTAGTAACCGCGTGGTTTGTTTGAAGGCTGATGTGGATAATTTCTTCCTATATGTTTAATGTGTTCCATTGAAAGGGTTTAGAAATCACAACACATGAAAGGGTGAAAGGGGTGAAGCTTTGGGTTCAAAAACCACATTGATATTGAGCGTGAAATCGACAAAAATTTGAAGATTGAAAACACATTTGAGTCATAGGTTTGTCATTTATAATCCTAAATGGTTTTGATTCATGTTTAAAGTCTGCGTTTTTTTTGTTCGTTAAGCTTATGAAAATAGGGTTCGTTTTGATTTAGGGTTTTTTAGTTTGATAAGGGTTTTTCTGTTTAATTAGGGATTGTTACGGATTGTTACGAAATAGGATTTTTAAAGTATGATTCTTATTTAGGGTTTTCTCTGATGTAGGTGTAATGGACGAGTATTTGTATCTAACAATTCACCATAGTGGTGAATTAATTGATAGTGACAATAGTCAGTACGAAGGAGGAGATATTTCTAACTTGAAAATAGATGCAGACATGTGGGGATATTTTGAGTTTGTTGGTGTTCTTATGGAGTTAGGTTATAGGGAGTTTGAGAAGATCTGGTACAGAGATCCTACATTTGGCATGACTGAATTGGTTAATGATAAAGGAGTCTCAGAAATAGCTGATCTCTACATGGTGCATTTAAATGTTGACATATATGGATGTGATAGTGATGATGATAGTGAAGAACTACAAAGTGGATCTGATAGTTTGGAAAAGGAACAAGATAATGATAATGAAGAACTACAAAGTGGATGTGATAGTGATGATAGCAGTGGGGCGTTACTAAGAAGCATTACCCAATGTTCAATTTGAAAAAGGACATGGAAAATTTCAAGTGGGGAGTGGGAGTGTACTTTAGGTCAAACGATGAACTTTTGACAGGTGTTGAACAAAGATTTTGTGTGAGGTACATGCACAACAACTTTAGGAAGAGGTACCCTGGGAAAATGTTAAAGGATGTAATCTGGAAGGCTGCAAAGTCAACATATGTACAAGCCTGGGAAAGAGAAATGAGGGCTAGGCAGCTTATCAATAAAGAGGCATGTCTACTGTGATACGGTGGCAGAACCGTCTGTTATATTGGTTTTGCGTTTGTGTTTGCAAATTTTGCGGTAAGCAAGAGTCGCCATCGACTTTTCTTTTATCCGATAAAGGAAAGGGTGAAAAGAACAGAAAAAGACCTTTTCGAGAATTTTCTGAGTAATGGGGTAGATTATGGAAAGGGAAGGTGTTAGCACCCTTTCCATCTGTAGTTGTCTACGGGCTCTTAGATGCTTAGCTCATTTTTTAAATACCTTGTGCTTTGTGTTTTGAAAAAGTATTTGAAAATGCCTTAGTGTGGCGATCCGTTTTATGATAACTCTTATATCAGTCCTCAAGAGTGTTGATAAAGCGAATGTTTTTGAAAGTATTTTTGAAATGTTTTTGTGTAAGTGCAAAAGTTTGTTTTGAGCAAGCATTTAAGAACTGTCTGCTTGTACTCGAAAAGGTTCGTTCTTTTCCTCTTATCTTTTTAGACAGTGCTATCCTATTATTAGTGAGTAGGTAGCCCCATCGTTGGATGTTTGAGGGACATTCGAAGGGACGTACAGTCATAAAGACAACATGTAGAAACTCTTTAACAATTATGTTTAAGGACTAGAGCATTTACCGAAAGGCAACTGTAGGGTCATCGGGGGACTGTGATCTTTTGATTTACGGGTCTTTTGCTAAAGCGTCCCTATTCTCGTGGGACATGACTGTTTTATTTCCAAAAGGCAATCAAAGTGGGGTACCCTAGAGGTGTATATATGCAAATGTGTTGTATTCAATTATTTTTGTCTTTTTTGTTAGGTTTGCTAGAGTTTTGATTTTAATCTTTGCCATACAATCCTATTAGTCATACATCTAACAGTTAATATGAAAGCAATATAAAATATGGAAAATAAGTGTCCTACGCTATTACAACCAAATTGAAAGGCAAGAAAATGTAAAAACAAGAACAAAATAAAGAGGGGAAGTGAGTCCTTTTATCCAGGCAGTAGACTCCTTTGATTCACCCTTCTTTTTCTTTATTTCGATTGAGCTTGGGAGTTAGTGTGAGCAACCTTTGATTGTACCCTTTCCCGATTCTTTCGATTGAGCTTGGGAATTTGTATGAGCAACCTTCGATTGCACCCTTTTCATGCTTCTTTTGATTGAGCTTGGGTGTTGGCGTGAGCAACCTTCGATTGTAACCTTCTCTGCTTCTTTCGATTAGACTATGAAGAAATATGGACCTGCAGAGCAGCATGAGTGTATATCCTTCGTTCACACCCTTTTTGTCTTTCATTTGAGTCTGTACATGTTAGTTCCAACATATATTTGGACAAGAAAATCAAGCAAACAAAAAGGATAGAAACGAAGAATATAACTAAAAGGCTATTTACATGTTATGCTAAAACGAAAAATAAGTGAAAGGCTGTTTAAATGTTATGCTGAAACGAAAAATGCAAGGTCAAGAGGACTTACCTTGCTTAAAACTGGAACTCGTGTATGGAATAGAGTTCTTAGATGCTCTTGGATTCGAAAGGAGAGAGGCAAGTATGGTGTGATTTTTTTGAATTTTGAGAATTTTTGGTATGCTTCTATTAGGCTGTGTATGCGTGTAATGCAATTTATGTGTAGTTCCTGGGCCTCTGTCTCTAGTCTCCTGACGAATGTATCTCGTCTGTCCTGGTGAATGTGTGTGGCTTTGTATTTATAGGGATGTGAGGGTGCATGAAAATGGCAAGGGACGACCATTTAACTAGGCTTTAAAGGCCATGAGACAAGAATCCAACACATTGAAGATTGATCATATTTGGCTAATTTTTGCCATTTTGAAATATTGAGTGAACCTAGACACATTTGAATCTTTCGAATACCTTCCATCCTTTCTCTTTGATTAGCCCTGAGTTGCTTCTTTCGAATGGCTCAAGTCTTTCCCTTTGATTGACTCTGAGTTACTTCCTTCGAATAGATCAAATTCTCATCATTGGGGCCTCTTCGATTGAGCCCCTACTCAGCTAGCCCAAACGAAAACTCTTTTCTGGCCAATCTAAACTTCCTTTGGCATGAATGTGCTTGTGCAGGATGCTTGAGTATGGAAATATGTGGGATTTTGGGCCAGCAAGCATCTTTGCATACTTATCTTTCGTTTTGACCAACTAGATCCAATCTTTGACCAAACCCTTTTTTTAGACAACACTATGTGTCCTTCGAATGGGCCTTTGCATGCTTCTTTGCATGGATCATTTACATGTTTTTCGAATGGGCCTTTTGAATTCTTCTTCGAATGGATCATTTACATGTCCTTCGAATGGGCCTTTTCCCTGGTGTGCTGGCAAGTTGAGGGGTCTTGGCCTTGTGCATTGAAAGCAAGCACGAAGGAAGTCTCTGCCTTATGCATTGAAGGCAATCATAGAAGAAGCCTTTTCCCTTGTGAATTGAAGGCCAGTTGAAAGGAGCCTTGGACTTAGTTACTCCAAGTCAAGCATGAAGAAGCCTTTTCCTAGTGATTCGAAGGTTGTATGTAGAGGCCTTTGGCCTAGTAAATCGAAGGGAATCGATTCTTGCCAAAATGAAACTTGGACCAAGGCTTGCTCGAATGGGAACAAATTCACAATTGAAGCTGATGGGCCAATGCTTGATTGAAGGGTTTTAGATGCTCAATTGAAGCTTTTTGACATGCCTATAGAAGGACCCTTTG